GTGTTCTTAACTGCTAAGCTATCTCTCCAGCCCCTCAGCTCCCAGAGCGGCCATCAGGGTGCTGGGATCCAAACCTCAGTCCTCTGGAAGAACAGTCAGTGTTCTTAACTGCTAAGCCATCTCTCCAGCCCCTCAGCTCCCAACTTATAGGTTTTGTTTTTGTTTTGTTTTGGTTTTTTGGTTTTTCGAGACAGGGTTTCTCTGTGTAGTCCTGGCTGTCCTGGAACTCACTCTGTAGACCAGGCTGGCCTCGAACTCAGAAATCCTCCTGGCTCTGCCTCCCAAGTGCTGGGATTAAAGCCGTGCGCCACCACTGCCCGACTAGCTCCCAACTTATAATAACAGTTCTGTTCCGCAGACAGACCCGGCTGGGCTCAGCTGAAGCCAGGCCTGGGGATTCCAACTTTCAACCTCTACAGAGGAGATGGAGACTTTAAGCTGAGCCCGGTGCAGTGGTTATGAACTGGAAGTACCTGGGTCTCCAAGGACAGGGGCTGGACAAGGGTGCCAACTGTTCCCCGTAAGCGTGGGGTTCCATTCTCCCGGAATAGACACCATAGAGACACTCATACCCCAGCCAAGATCCCCAAGGAAGGAGTCCTAAGACACCTGAAGCTATGAAACCTGCCTCGCTTCCTCTCTGGGCTTAGATGGAAGCGGTGGAGACAAAGGAACCGGAGGAAGGAAAGGAACACAAGAGGTCAGAGCCTGTAAACCCCAGTGGCCCCCACACCGCCTCAAGGCTCCTACCCCCTACTCACCTTCCAGCAGGTACTAGGCCCAGTCCTCAGCCTCATTGTGGACTCTTCAGTGGACCCTGTGCCAACAACCAGACCTGTCAGAGAGCATCTTTGTGTGCCTGGAGGAAGTGGCTGACAGCTTCCCTGAGAAATACAATTTGTTCAGGCCAGCCCAGCAGTAAACACCTCACCCAGAGGCAGGGCCAGGACAGAAACATTTCTGTATGCTGGGCCTTAGGGTTGGGCCAGCATTTCCTGGTAGCTGGAAAACAGGAAGACTGACTCTCAGAAAGGAATAGTTTAGATCCCATCAGGACCAGGGGTCTGACACTGGACATTCATGGCGAGGGCACAGGTGCGGAGACTTCTAATGGGATGGAGAGCTGGCCAACTACCATGAATGAAAAGTCCCAGAAAGAAGCCATGCCTATAGAGACGGCCCACTGCCAAAATCGGTATATCTTGGGTTAGCTGTAGCTTCAAACGTCCATCTCCTGACTATCTTTGTAGAACATCCTACAGCTAACAGATAAAAACCTTTGAAAGCCATTAATGTAGCAGACCACTGGCTTCTACTGCCCCAAAGCTGTATCTCAGGCCCATAGGAAAGCTTTCCGAATCTTGCCTTATACGCCTCTCTATGTCCCCACTGATGTATTTTAAACTTGCCTGGATTCATGACTTTCTTTGTTCAGTAAAACTATAAAACTTCATGAAACTGTTTCCGCACTGGAACATGGAATTTGGGGGTAACATGAATCTCTGTTCCTGGGCACAGTCATTCAAAATGGTACCAGAAGAAACTATTCCCATTAGGATGAGAACTTTATTATTAATTACTAGTTTGCATTGATACCACCTATACCAGGGTGGGACAGGACCGCCCAGGCGGAGGACTACCCCATCTTAAATGGTGGCTTCTGGACACTGAGACCCAAGTGTGTTCCAAGCCCCGGGCGCATCCTCTAAACTCATACAGCTTTGTGAGGTAGGAACTATTCTACTGTCTTTATTGCCTGGGAAAGTGGGGTCAGGTCTGCTGGCAGGACCCCCGTCTCACCCACTACCCACTGATGCTACCAGAGTCCCAGAGCCCCTCAGCATGACTAGGCCTGAGGAAACAGTTTGGCTTCCAGCCTGCATCCTTGGCTCAGAGATTTCCCTCTCAGCTGGCCCTTCTACTTGAGCTTCTGGGCCACCGGACACTGGGGACAAGGGCTGTGGGCCAGGTGCCAGGTCTCTAGCCACTCCTGGGAAAATGGGTAGGAGGGAGCATGGGCTAGGCCACCGGAGTCCTCAGGACAGCAGGTTCTGTCATTTGTGGGCTAGGCCTCTGGAGTCCTCAGGAGGGCAGGTTCTGTCATCTGTGGGATCCGGTACAAAAGAAAACTGTGAAGTTCCTTGTTAAAAACCAAGACCAAAAATAAGGAATTTCAAATTTGTAGCAGGAGAGATTAAACTAAGCACAGGGCTCTGAGGGCTGCACAGGTTACACCCTGAGGGCCCTGAGCTCTGAAGCTGAGCGAGCGATAAAGCCCAGGGCTCCATTCTTCAGTCTTCCAGAGGGGGAAGGGGGCAGAGCCTGGGGAGTGAGCTCTCAAGTCTGACAGCATCCTAGCTCAGCCACCTCACAAAAGCTAGCTCGGACTACACACATCATCTGTAATGAGCCCCGCTCCCTCCTCAGGGCAGCATCACACAGCAGGATGGTGGTTGTTTTGGTTCTGAAAAGCAAAGTTCAGAGAAAGAGCTGGCCCTCAGACTACTCCTCCCTGGCAGTGCCCACCCTAAGCTGCATTCTGCCTTCTGTTTTACAGAGGAACCAATTCCCACAGTTAAGAGACGGCCTGACTGGCAAAGACTTTGGAATCTGACTCATGGGGCAGGAAAATGGCGATGGGTGGAATTTCTTTCTCACCCTGAGTCCTCCCAGGCCTTCCTCTGTGCTTGCTAAGTGAGGGCACAGTGGCTCTCCTGGGCCAGCATAGTCCTGTGGTCAGACCATAAGAAGCCCAGGCTTGTGGGATACTGATGTCCAGACGATTCAGGAAGAGCTGACAGTTGTGGGCCTAGAGAAGGGATGGAGAGCTCCGTCTGCCCTCCAGGAAACAGGTTACAGGCCTGTGTCCTAACCCCTATCCCACATCCATTACCACAGAGACACAGTGTCCAGAAAATACACATTTACCGGCACACTCCTGAGACAGTCCTGGGAGGCTGATGCTCATCCGCCCTCACACCCATCAAATCCCAAGTTCCAGGGTGCACCAACCAGGGCCACCAGCCTGAGAATGTGGCACCATGTGGCTGGAGATAGGTAGAGGGGTACAAAGTCATAATGCTGGTGAGGTGGGACCATTGATCGGCCCCAGGGCAAAGGCCACTTAAACCTGGAAGTGGGACAAACCCCAAGATGAAGACGTGGATTCTCCTGAGGGCAGAGGTGATATAAATGGCACCCTCTCAACTGCCTTTCAAGTCACAAGGCCTGAGATTCCTCCAAGTATACCCAGTGTTGGATAACAGAGACCTCAGGTTCCACCTGGTGTCAGGTAGAAGGTGAAAGTCACAAATGTTTATATTGGAGCCATGCTGGCCTGGAATGGGTCACAGGCCTAGCAGTCACTGGCAACAGGAACTACTTGGCCCTCCAGGACGGGTGGGCGAACACGATGGGCCGCTTCTTGGCCCAGCGGGAGAACACAGCCTTCTCAGTAATGAAGCGATGGGCACTCCTTGGTGCCTGCTCGTGCAAACGGTACATCTGACACTCATCTAGCCGGCCCTTCTCGAAGTAATGGTAGGGCACGGAGCGGGGACTCTTCTCACTGTTGGGAGGGAACAGGGTCAGGTGGAACAGACACAAGGCCTCAGAGCAGACTGCCTCCGGGACTATGCCTCAGCTGCCTAGGCATGGGATACCCGAATCTGGACAGATGGCAGAGGCCAGCAGGTGAGGAGCCCACGGGCCAGGACTCAGAAACTGCTTCTTGCAAGCTGGGTGAACAGAAAGGCACCCCTACAACAGACCATCTGAAATCGGAGTCTTTGACTCGAGGATAAACTCGCAGAAAGGGGTGGCGCCTAACTCTCATACCCCGAGCAGTCAGCTCTGCATGCCCACCGGCCGGTTAGTACTGTGCTGGCCAGCAGGGACCCGGCCTAACCCTACCATTTCCCTCATACACCTACGACACGGGTTCTGAAGGGAAAGGGTGAAGCCTGGAGCCGTTCCCAGACTCTTTACTTATAGTAATATTGAAATATAAGAATGTAACATTATTATAATAGAATCCCATATGCCTATCTGAATGAACTCCCAGTATTTAAGTAATGCCACAACTAAATCTATCTGTAGTGTTTTATTAAAATAGATATAGGCTCCCGGGGTGAGCACTTTATCAGGTGAGTCTAACTCAAGGCCCACTTTGCCAAGTCTTTTTGTCAACTTAACTTTTTTTGCATTTTTTTTATTTGTGTGTGTGTGGGGGGGCGTGAGTAGGTAAGAAGCTACCACAATGTCAAAAGACGTGGGATGTGAGAGTCGGTTCTCTTTCTACCATTTGGGTCCTGGGGAGTTGTTTGTTTTATTTTTTGAATCAGGGTTTCTCTGTGTAGCCCTGGCTATCCTAGAACTCCCTCTGCAGACCAGGCTGGCCTTGAACTCAGAGATTTGCCTGCCTCTGCCTCCTGAGTGCTGGGATTAAAGTTGTGTGCACAACCTCCTGGTTCTTAAGTGTGAACTCTGTATTTGACAAGGTCAGGTAGCAATGTCTCAAGGTTAGATACACTGGCTGGGATGGTTCACTGATCTGAGAGATATACAAGTCTTTGTTTGGGTTTGAGTTTTTTAGAAAGGCTCTCAAAAGCTGGTGGGGGAGGGGGTAGCCTTGAACTTGATGTGAAGCCAAGGTTAGCTCTGATCCTGGTTCTCCTGTCTCCACCTCCTAAGTGAGGTTACTATGCCCAGCTAAAGGTTACACTTTTTCCCAAAAGCCTGCCCTTGGGGGTGTCATGAAACCCATACAGCTCACAGACCCTCTGGCTCACAGCCTCATGCCCCCCCTCCTTCCCTGCCCCCCTCCTTCCCTCCCCCCTCCCCCCAGCCTGGGCGCCAGTCTAACCTGCAGTAACTATCGCTGACCATCCCGTAGACCACGATCTCCTCACACAGCTCTAGGGCCAGAATCATGGTGAACCAACCGGTGCTGAGGAAGGAGCCTGATTGTCTCCTGAGGAGGATGAGATACGGTCAGTGGTCCCCAACCACATCCCCTACTCCGACTTGATGACTAGAAAGGGGTCCCGGGGAGGATGGGAAGCAGCAGAGAGGCAGCCTGCCATCGTGGTGGGTCAGAGGTGGAGCTGGATATAAACCCAGGCCTGTTCAGTTTGGCTGCCTGAGCAGAGGATGGCATCGGGGTCCTAGAGAACTTGACCTGTGGAGCCCGCAGGTGCAAGAAAGTGCAGTGGGTAAAATCGAGGGAGCTGTCTTCCATTTTAGCCTTGCCTCTCCCGAGGGCACCCAACTCACTCTTGAAACTCTCAGCCTCAGTGACCCAACTGTAAAATGTGGAGATTTGAAGGTGGTTTTGAAGAGGGAACCCCACCAGCCCTGCCCACCCCGCCCTCACCCCGCCCTCACCCAGCCCACCTGGGTAAAGGGGCTGTGACAACCCCAGGCCTCAGCTCTCTTGAGTGGCAGCTCTGGGTGCCCTCCAAGCAGAAGGTCACCCCCTCTGCTTCTCCTGAGGGTACAGGCCAGCTCACCCAGTCAAGCTGAGCACAGCCAGCACCTGCCCCACCTGGAGCTAACACTTTCAGGGAGGAAACACATAAACAGTGTAATGTCACATGGTGTCAGTTGTGAAAGAGACTGGAAAAGGCTTGAGACGCAGACTGCCAGGGCAGGCCACTCCTGCAGAGGGGATGGTCAGGGAGGGCTTCCCTGAGGAAGTGGTAGTTTATCAGACCAGAATGTCGAGAAGAGGCCAATTGCAGGAACATTGGAAGAATGTTCTAGGCAAAAGGAACAGAGCATGTGCAAGGTACTGCAGCTGGGGACAAGTCTGAACATCTGAGGATGAGGGACAGGGGACAGGTATGTAGTGAGGTGCCTCTGGAAGTCCTGAGGGATCTGATGTAGAATGCTCATCTGACATAGAATGCTCAGCTCAGAGCCTTAGACCCAAAGACAGTTGGTGTTATTGGTTTGGTTTGGTTGTTTGTTTTTGCTCATTTTTGAGACAGGCTCATGTCGCCCAGGCTTAACTGAACTGAACTCCCTAGGTAGCTCAAGATAACCTTGAACTCCTAACCATCCTGCCTCTACTGAGTGATGAGATTACATCCTGAGTGCTGGGATTACAGAGGCATGCAAGGCCAGTTCATTCAGTGCTAGGGATGGAACCCAGGGCCTCATGCATGCTTGGCAACCATTCTGCCAACAGAGCCACATCCGCAGCCTGAAGTAACTCTTACTTCAGTTATCTGGAATGGACCTCAGAGATCACCTCAGACCTTAAAGCACTTCCTAGAAGAAAGAGGCTTTTAGAGAAGGCAAGCTCCAGATGCCAGAGGTTCCCAGCTCACCGGTTCTTGCCCGTCTCATCTTGGAAGATCTGGTCGCAGTAGGCCATCATACGTTCAGTGAAAGTGTACACTTGCAGGCCTGGGTACATTCTGGTGAGCTGCAGCAATGTGCGGTAGGTGCGGCCGCCCAACATCCGGTCCATGTGCCTGCCCTGGCCCCACACCACGTACAGTGTGTCTCGGGCATGCTGGAAGTAGTGTGAGTAATTGCGCAGAAGTAACGGCACACTTGTGTGCGAGATCACGCGCAGAGTGCTGCGCTGGCCTACGTCCTCCTCAAAGCCTACAGTGGGAGCCTGGTTCATGCGTAGTACGCACTCTGCACCATCGATCTGGGCACCCAGGCCAGAACCCAGCATCTGACCGGAGCTGGACACCACCGCACAGCTGTGGCAGAGTTCTCGGATAAGCGGCTACAGAGAGGGAAGCAGAGAGAGATCAGGCACCCTCCACACAAGCTGCTATCCACTCGTCCACCCCCTCACCTCTCCACAACCACCGTCATGCCCACTAACCTGTCTGATAGTTGGATCAGTTCCTAGAACTAAGATCTACTGTGGTTTTTTGTTTTGTTTTAGTTTCTTTAAATCTGTGTGTGTACATGCTTGTGTGCACAGGTGTGGGTGCACTTGCGTGCATGGGGGCACAGCCACGTGCCACAGGTTGACTTCAGGTGCTTTCCTCAATCACTATTTTCTTGAGACAGAGTCTCTCACTGAACCAGGATTTGGCTAATTCTGCTAAACTGGTTGGCGAGGCAGCCCCAGCCTCACTGTGTCTGCCTTCCCAGCATGCGATTACAGGTGCATGCTGGGTGCCTGGCTCTTACATGGACGCTCAAGACTGGATTTGAGTACTCATGCTTCATGGATCAGTGTAACCAACTGAACCCCCTCCCCAGGCCCCAGGGTGCTTTGGTTTTTGCTTTTCGGGGTGGGACACATGCCACAGAACCCGTGTGAAGGTCCATGGTCAGCTTCCTTGAGTCAGTCACCTCCACCATGTGCGTTCCATGGGGGGAACACAGGTCATCAGATTTTGTGGCAAGTGCCTGTACCCATTAGGTCACCTGGCCAGCCCCAGTTTTCATTTGTAATATAAAGTCTCACTTTCTGACGCAGGCATGCCTTGGACTTGTGGCATTTCTTCTGCTTCAACTTCCCAAATGCTGGGGCTGTAGGTGGCAACTGCCATGTTTGCCCACCTGGCAAGCCAGACACAGGACAACGACCTTCCAAGGCTTCCTTATGAGCCCATCCAGCACTGTTGCTGTCCCCAAGCCCTAAAATGTCCCTACCTTACTGGGACCTTATTAAAGTTACAAGATCAAATATTTATAAAGCCTTTAGAATGGTCTCTGGCACTGACTGCATGTTCATGTATTTGCTAAGTAAACAGGAACTGCAAACTCTTCCGAATCACCTAGGCCCCTTCCTGCCCCGCCCAAGCCTAACCCAGACTGTACTGAGTTTTTAATAGAAGGGTCTTCAGTAAGAGGGGTCTTCCATGTCCAGCCCATGCCAGTTCTGGTAGTCTGGTTCTCAGCCTGAATCCTGGCTCCAGCTCTTCCTAGTACTATGGCCTCAAGGTGGGGAAGGCGGTGTTGCCCCTCGTCTGGGAAGTGGGTGTAAAAACACCTGCTTGACCTTCTTGTGAGAACACAGTAGAAAAGGTACAAGGAAATAAGGAGCTGGGGACACAGGATGGGCTTGGGGACAGGCTGCCCAAGTCAAGAAGCTCGACCACAGTGGAGCGGAAAAATGACCTCTCCAAGCTTCAAGCCCCTCCTAGCACTTCTAAAAGCCAGAGAGGGCTGCAAAGGGGCACAGAGGACCTCTGCGAGTGACAGAAAGAGTTCTGTGTCACCACGGTGAAGGCTAGTCATACTCTCCTACGTCTGTGGAAACTCACTGGCTGGGCGTGGTGGCTTAAGTCTTTAATTCTAGCCCTCAGAAGGCAGAGGCAGGTAGATCTTGGTGAGATCCAGGCAGCCAAGGCTACAAAGCAAGTCCCAGGCCAGCTAGGGCTATATAGTGAGGCCCTGAACTGTTTCCTTGTAACTGGTGAACTCTGTTATAATCTGTCAACTTGTACACCTACATGCTGTGTGGATACATATCCAGGTGGAAGCCCAAGGTTGATACATTAGTGTCTTCCTTGATCATTTGCCAGGATGTATCTTGAAACAAGGTCTCTCAGTATATACCAAGAACCCTGCTCTGGCTAGTCTGGCTAGCTAATCTACCCCGAGGAGCCCATCTCTGCCTCCACAAAGAAAGGATTACAGCAAGTTGCCAGGCCAACCTGGCTTTACGACTGATCCATTTCCAGATCCCACCCTGCTTCTTTTGAGACAAGGTCTTGTGTACAGAGACTGTCCTGGAATTAGGTGCTGGAACTGCAGATGTGAGCTGCTACCCAGGCCTCAGGCCCATTATGGGCCCTGTTTCCTATTTGTTATACCACCCAAGAGGCAGACACCAGGCAGCCCGAATGCACACACTCAGCGAAGATTGTTAAGGCTCCGACCAAAGTGCTGGGCCCTCACCTGGAGGAACTCCTGTTTATAGAGCCATGTAAAGATTTGTTCCACTCAATAAAAGACATTGTGAAATCCCACTCTGGTCCTTTTTTTTTTTTGATAAGATGTTGATTTAAGAACTCATAAATCCATTTTCTGTACTACAGTATTTTAAAAAAAAATAGTGGGGGCAGGACTTGGGCATTTGGACAGACAATCAGTTCAAAGTCACCTGCCACATGGCAGATTCCAGGCTAGCCAGGGCTATGTGAGACCCTCTCCTGAAAAAGTAAAAAACAAAAGACAAAACAAAAATATTTCCTTGTTGTGCCCTCAGTCTGGGCCTGTCCTGGCAGGCCATCCTCTCTTTCTCGTGACCATCGGCCCCATCAAGGGTCCTGAGATCGGCCTCACAGGGCCAATTGATTTCCCGCATTACAAGAGGGAAAGGCATAGGTGTTGACATTCAAAACCTGGATTTCCCACTTAAGAAAAACAAATGGAGGCCGGGGAGAGGGGTCAGGGGACATGAGTCCAATCTCAGACCCTGAGAAGGAAGAGAGGGAGGGAAAGAGAGCGAGGGAGGGAGGGAGGGAGGGAGGGAGGG